ATCAATAACCTTCGCAGTTTCACTAAATTATTTACATATGTACGAATGTCGTAATATTATTTTGCGGTTTTGCCGTTGAATTGAATTGAATTTTATGTAGCGTAAGTGCGAAGAACATAATATTTAATAGAGTTTACATACAAAACATTAATAAGAAAAACATTAATTAAAAAAAAGGTATTTTACTAAGTAAACTCAACATTGATATCATGAGCTGAGGAAAGACTGAAACATATAGAAAAATGTATGCCAACGCTTAGCACTGCATGAGGAGTTCTAAACATATGTCTGTGTTAAAAGTTTGTAACTATGTTGTTGAATTGTATAGGTGTAAGAGCGAAGAAAACGATGCTTAATAATAAAGCTGAAAACACAAAAATAAATTAAGTAGCAGAAGTGAGTGCAACAGCAGATTGCTAGACTCCTATCTGAGCGAGAGGGTAAAACACCTTAACAAATACTTTTGAACGATCATTCCTTTCAGAATTTTTTGTTACTATTAAAACGATTCAAATATTCGGATATTTAATCTACCGTCGAAACATGCGCAGTAGTGAATGGTGATTTTTTTTAATATTAGATTATTTACTATTTTGTAGTAGTACATAAAACAAACTAAAAACGCACAAAATTAAAAGCATACAAAATTTTGTGAATAAAACTTTAAAATCCATATTACAGGAAACAAAAAGTATTAAAGCGTTTTTAAAATCGCACGATTCAAATCGAAAACAGTTCAGGAAATTCCATCTATCCGTAAGGCTTTAATCATCTACCTAGCATGCGAATAACTTTCAAAAGTATGTCCCGCCAAATGTGTATGAGTGCCAGTGTGTTTGGCATCCATAACTTCAACATCGCAACATTAAATTAACATAAATCTTCAACATAAAGTTAAAACTGGGAAGTAATATAAATGTAAATAACTTGCTATACATCACTTCCCGTTTGCATAATTCCTAAGTGCAAATTGATATCGCCAGTGACGGAGAGATTTCTAAAATGGACCTGTGGGCATCTAATACTACTTTTCTGTTGTATCACATGATCTTTGCTGCGCTTAAAGCAAAGATAAATTTAAATGTTTTAATTGAAAATGAATCAAATTTATGTAGATAACCTACTCAACAGCCATTTTAAATTAAAATTAAATTTTTTAAACACATTTTTAAAATTAAAGATATAACCGCGTGTCATCTTGGAAAATTAGGAGCCCTTACCTTTTTTCTTTCTTTTCGGCCTAAAAGAGCTGTTTCTCTCGAAACGCGATTTCGCTTTACTTCACTTTCATTTGAGTCTGTTACCATTTGGAGAAGCGCAAGACATTATTCTTTCACATTTAGTCTGTCTGTTATTAATGAACAAGCTAAACTATTTAACAGAAATAGATATATATTAAAAATACATTTTTTTAGCTTTTAACCTAATTAATTGAAATAATGCATTTAATTTATGAAATACCTAATTAAACATATTCATTTTTCTTTATAGAATTACGTTATCATCTTAATGAAAGCAAACTTAGAAGTAATGATTCCGTAAAAATATTGATTACACAGAATGTTGATCAATAATGAAGAGCAAACTAGGCAACTGAGGCAGATCAAATATTCATTTTTATTCCAGTAAATACGTTTCGGCCACAAACAACTTGATAAACTATTCGTGCATGTTTCGAATCTTTTATTCGTTCGTTTTTGATAGCTCTGCAGTAAGAAAAGGGCGGCAATCAGCAGTCCATCTAGACCGAAGTGTAGAAATCATGTGACTTCTGTTCAGAATGAGTCAGTTTCGGTTCTCAGTGTATTTGATAGATAATTAATATTCTGTAAAATTACTATTGGCTGTTGGAGCCTTAGTTATATTTACATCACCAACGTAATACTCAAAATTAAGCATTTAAGGGGCTATTGCTAGTTTAAATTATAACTTATTTTACATATTTTTTATCTTACACATATATATACGTACACTGCGCTCACAAAAAATGGGACAGTTCTATATCTCCCGTTCTACTAAGCCGATTGACGAAATTCAAATTGCGTTTTTCATGTCTCGTAAGCGTGACTAAGGATATATATTAGATTTAAATACAGCATTGTTCTAACATAGTTATTTTCACACAAAATCGGACTTTTTCTAAAATAATATATCAGTTTTCTTCATTATTTTAATTCTACGAATCAAATTATGCCTAGGTATTACATTTTGTAATTTTTGGTGAGAAATTTAAAAATTTATCTTGGCACACTTTTTTTCATTTTGCGCCAGTTAGCGAACTTCTTGATTTATAACAACCTATCTTCCTTTCCTTTTTTTCATCACACACGAGCGAAAAAAGGTCACAGTTCATACTTTCAAATAATTTTAAGAAACTGCGTAAATACACCATACTATACATATATATATATATTTGCACAGAAGAGGAAAGTTCAAATTTGCTAATGCGTTAAAGTACATTTGATATTGTAGTTCCAGAGTAAAAACGTTACACCAAGTATAAACAATAATACAATACTAAAGCGGTAAAGGTTAACGCGAAAACATTTACTGTAATAACTACAAAACAATATAAAATTTAAAAACAAAAATGGAATTAGAAAAGACAAAAAAATTTTTTTAAATAAAAAAACTTCATATTATGTACGCAAACATTCAAAAACATTTTAAAGGCAAAGAAATTATATATAAAGAATTGAAATAAATGGTTATACAGGGTGTTTCTAAATTGTTTTTACAAACTAATAGGGGTGATATTACTCATCCAGATGAGCAATAATTACCATAGAACCTAGGGTCGCATTCCACTCTGACAGGCAGAAAAGAAGAATATTAGAATTCCAACCTGAACTTGCAAGAGTGTTGGGAGAGCGAATGAACGAGACCAAAAGTTGCGCAATCAGTTTAATGAGAAACTCAGAGAGTGGACGAAACGGATAAAACCGAAAACATGGCAGTTTTTTAGCAGTTAAACTGTGTAGCAATTTTTCCCCTTTGCCATCTTCTATCCTGTTCTCCAGGACTTGCTCTGCTGCGCTCGTTGTACTTGAAGCGCCCTTCTATGGCACACGAATCTCTGACACCCGGAACACAGCATTAATTTCTCATGCTAATCTCGGAATACAGTGGAGTTAGTTAATAATATTCAGCCCTTAGATAATTAACATGTTGCAATCGTTTGAGAGGTTGAGAGGTTGAGACCTTGCGAACCAAATGTGCATTTGAGTTTTTGCCATCAAAGTCTGAGCTTGATTTAACACTCAAACGCCAAGTTTCCGGTTTTGTCCGTTTTGTGTATTCTCTGTGAGTTTTTCACTAAGCTGATTGTGCAACTTTTGGTCTCGTTTATTCGCTCTCTCAACACTTGTAAGTTCAGGTTGGAGTTCTAATATTCTTCCTTTCTGCCTCTCAGAGTGGAATACGACCCTATGTTCTATGGTAATTATTGCTCATCTGGATAAGTACTATCACCTCTCTTAATTTGTAAAAGCAATTTAGAATCACCCTGTATCTCTCTCTCTCTCTCTCTCTCTATATATATATATTATATATATATATAGGGAAATTGGAACAGAGAACTGAAGCACCAAAAGATTTTTTGGGACAATTCATATTATTTAAAAAATTTTTCGTCACACAAGAGTTTCAATTGTCTGTTTCGGCGAAACGCGTAATGGTGTTAGCTTGTTTCGATGTCCAACTGAAATTTACCTTGAAAAGCCAGGTTGGAGGTCGAATTAGGCTAATTTACCATTTTCCGCTTTATAATTTTTATAATTTTTGTAATTCTATGTTTTTCATATGTTTTAATTTCGTTTTAACTTGTTCAGTTCAGTTTTTATGTGTTAAGTTTTCACTTATCACATTGATAGGTTTTTACTGTATTTTTTGCCGTTCACATGTTTCCAATGATTGATTTAACTGTTTTTTTATATTCTACATTTTGTTTCGCGTGTAGCCTAATTTTTCACCCTTCAATGTCATTGTTTTTAAAAAAAATACTGTGTTGAACTATTTCTTGGAGCCACAGCTCCTGGTAACTTTTTGGCGAGCTCACTACAATTTTTCTATTATTATATATATATATATATAGAGAGAGAGAGAGAGAGAGAGACATACCCCAAGAAGTTATTAGTCTCGAAATACGATTTTGCGTTGCTTCATTTTTCATTTCAATGTGTTGCCATTCGATAAAGTATAAGATGCTTCAAATTTAACCTATCTGCTACAGATAAACAAGCTATCTAAGGGCTATAGACTCAGCTCTTAAGAATTTTATTTTTTGACTTTTGGATAAGATTGATTTAAAACAAAATGCCTTTATTTCACTTTACACGATGTATCTAATTCACGGCGACTTTACACGATATATCTAATTCACGGCGACTTTACACGATATATCTAATTCAAAACATTCAATATTGTTATAGAATTATGTTATATATATTTTCATTTTTCAAATATACAGAAGATATATAACATGTCTCGGTTGCATATTCAAATAATATCCTATAAAACGTTTTTCTATTCTACCTAAGCCATGTCTATGGATAATTTCTACTGATAAACTATATTAAACTTTAAAAGAGCTCTTTAAGGCGCTTGTTAGGAATTTAACCCTTTAAAATGTTTTGTTTGTTTGTATTATGGGTTTTTATGCATCATGTATTTCACAAGTCTCACTGTATTTGAAAATTAAGTTGAATTAAAACATTATTGCACAATTTTCCGTTATTCCGTTTGCTAAATCTCACTCAACTCGTTACCAAAGATATTATAGTTTGACAGCACTCACTGAAAACAATAGTCTTGTGTCTAGTTTATAGAATTCGAATATTGCAAGCAACAGCGTGAATTTCTGCCATATAATCGAAACAAATTACTGTATTTTCAAAGATTTCTGCTTTTTTAATAAAATGTTCAGTTACCAATCTGTGTTTAGATGTGCAATATATTGTCTGCTAAATGAATTAGTTTCCTCTCTTGTCTCTGTTCTTCAGATCCCTTCCTCTTATTGGGACACTAACATCTACCTTTGTAGTGATTGCCACCTTGACAACTGTCACCTGGATTCAGAGAGCTCAGGTACGCGTATTCCATTCTTTAATTATTGCCTTCTCCGTTTTCTTTATTTGTATCATCAAATAAAGGTGCTATCAAAAGTTCGCAAAATGCCAAAATTCTCTTATGAACTGTTCATAATATATTTAACGCAAGAGTTCATAACAATTCTGGAAAATATGTGTCTGTTGCTGTACGTCTAATCCTAATGCTCGGAGGCTATCTCTCATTTACTAAAGAGAACATGTAAATGTTAAATTTGAATTTAGTAAAAAGAAAAACCACGTTTGGCATGGATTATCGGGTACGTTTTTTCCCCTCCCTGAGGAAGAGAGGCATGTGTCTGTCATTCTCAAGATCAGTAGATTTATTCAAAATCTCAGCTACAAAAACCTTATTTGCCTACTTCTAAATAGTTGACTGAAGTTGTTTGGCTACATAAGATGTTAAGAAGATGTTTGGCTACATAATTCCGTACTTGAGATTTATTATTATTATTATTATTTTTCTAATTTATCTTGGCCTTATTTGTAGATTTTGCCCCTTATTCGGCGACTTTACGAATAAGGGGCAAAATCTACAAATAAATCTATAAAAAAGTATTCTCAAATATTTTTTAATATCAGATTAACTGAATTGTTGGTCACAGTAAACTATGTATTTTCCATGTTTCCGTATCCAAGCGAGAGGGACTTCGGTCATTCCATAATAATATCCGAATTATAACATTAACTGGGATCACATTAAACGATATCCACTGTACGTTATATCAGAAAAAAAAGACGAAGGAAGAAGATAAAGAAGGAAAAGGAAACAACAAAAAAATGAGACTTGAAAATGATTCATTTATAACATATTGCTTAAAATGTAAAATTAATTTATAACATATTAAAATGGTATAAGCATATTTTTCAATTCGTTTACAAAACTGCAGAAAGCAAAATTTTATCTAAAATTTACCATTTGTAAAATCTGCGAAGTAAAATAAAATTATTGCAAATGTTACCGGCAGTATATGAAAGCGGACATTCTGTTTCTAGGCATTTTAGAGAATGCCAAAAAATGGCTCGCAGTGTATGAAACGATTAATATTTAATACATTTCCTATGCATCTATGGAATGAAAAACCACCAAAGTATAAGCTGCGTCTCCGATTCGTTTCGAATACCTATACATATAATACATTCATACATTTAAAACCATAATTCCATATATTTCACACAATGTTTGGAAAATGCACATATTTTATATAATAGCTTTATTATGGCAATTTTTAAATACTTTGCTAAAACAGCATTTGTCTTTCTATAGAATGCCTAGGTATTATATACAATTACTAGGAACGTGTACAATAATTGTCATATTTCTTACTTTGCCTAATAAGTTAGGTATTCTATAATATGCCTAAGAATTCTATAGAATGCCGGCTTTCATATATTTCCGGTAACGTAAACATCAAAATCCGTTCAACAATTGTTGACGTAAATTGTTCAATATTTATTCAACAGTTGTAGAAAATTTCATATTATGTAACTTTTTTGTAAGTGCGCATTTGAGCAGATTCTTACGAGTAATCGTGCTGTACCTATTTAATGCAAATAATGTGTGTGATTGCTTGTTTGTTGTTGGCTCTGTGATCCGATCTTGAGGAAAAAAAGTTTTTAATCGCAGCGCAGGACCAGCAACAGTCATCATTCCCGCTCATTGAGTCCTTGCTCGACAGATGTCGCCACCAGTCACGTCCTCAGAGTGATTCTCTTCCTCATCGCTAACACTTTCATCTTCGCCTCATCTTTCATCAACATGGTAAGTGGATTATATTAATTAACAATTCATTAACGAAATTCCTTTTTTGCAAGATTTTTAAGCCAAAGGGCTTATTATTCTCGAAATAGGATTTTGCGACATTTCACTAAAAATGTCAGTTCACTTTGTATGGCTCATTCACTTTTCATACTACTTCAAACTATAACATTGCTATCAAATGTTATCACCCTGCATTATTTTTTAAGAAATATAAAAATGAAAAATCTGCATGCATATGTATGTTCCTCGCAATATGAAGAAAAGGCAGTACCTAGAGCTATCAAATTTTGAATAACGAACTCCTCGATCCGAGCATGTGCACTTGGAGGCTTGAAATTTTAATTTGTTTTCTTATTAGTTTCATGTTTGTAAACTTTAATGAGCTTTTGATTAACAAACTCAAGGATTTGAAAAGTAGCAGTGGCAACACTGCCCCAAGTAAAATATTCTTGTCTCCGCACGTCTTCTTGTCTTCTTGTCTCAGCACGTAAGATTCAGAAAAATGCATGATATTTTATGTTTCAGTTTAAATTAACAAACTCAGTCCTATTACTACAGCAATGTGTTCCCGCGGCTGTAGATAAAATAATTTTATTCCCCCTGTCAGCGTACTGGTATTCAGTAAAGCCTAAGATAAGATACTTTCAAATTTAATATGTAAGGTTTTTGAGCAATAAACGCATTTCTTAAGAATATTTTTTTTTTTTCTACTTTTCAATGTAACTGATTTAAGAGGCTAGTTTTGAAAGAAATACAAAAATAAGTATGGCAACCTCTAACACTATCGGGAATTCTAGATGTATGCTGTTTTTAAATATTTTGTGATTTTGCAGTTGAACTGAATTTTATGTGGCTTAAGTGCGAAGAACGTTGATGTATGTTAAATAAATTTAACGTACACAAAGTTAATAACAAAAAGACAAAAAAGAAAAATTGTGATCCAGGACTAAGAAAACGGAACACTGATAAGATGGACTGAAGAAAACTGAAAAAAAAGTTACAAAAATGTATGCAAACAATTAACAGTGCACCGGGATGTTTAAACATATGATGTTGTTAAAATTTTTCTGATTTTGCTGTTGATTTGTATATGGTGTAACAAAAAAAAAAAAAAAAAGGATACTTAATAATAAAGCTGGAAAGCCCAAAAAACAAGGGTTAGCAAGAGTAAGTACAAGAGCAGCCTGCTACACTGCGAGTTCAGCGAACGCGTAAAAACCTTAACAAACCCTTTTAAGCAACTATTAAAATCTGAAACTTTTAAGGTTTTTTAGCCCAAAAGGCGTTAGTTTAAAAGGGCTATTTATTTCGTTTTGGCATTTTGTGTCGATTCACTATAAACGGCGAATCACTTTTCAAATTGTTGCCACCAAATATTATAACCCTGTGTTATATTTAAAAGAATTAAATAATGAAGAATCTGCATCAATGTGTGTATGTTTCTCGTATCGTGATAAATCAACGGTACATGGAGCTATCAAATTTTGAATAACATAATCCTCCACTGAATATGGGCATTTGGAAGCCCCAATTTAAAATCTGGGATTTGCTTTGTTATCGATTTCATGTTTTGTAACACTTTAACGAATTTTTGATTAACAAACTCAACGATTTCAAAGAGAGCAATGGCAACATTATAAAGAAAAAAATATTTTTATCTCTAGAGCGCGAGACTGTGTACCGGAAATTCTAAAGATATGCTTATTTTTAAATTATTTTGCGACATCGCTGTTGAATTGAATTTAATGCTTTTAAGGGCAAAGAATATGATATTTTAAAAATAAAGGTAACGCACAAAACGTTAAAAAAAAGTCCCTTTGGGGGTAATGTAAAATCTGAAAGCTTTGGGATCTCTTTATATTTTATTTATTTATTTTTAAACCTCATTTTGAGGATTTCGTTTCGTCAAAGTCGCATTCTGCAAAAATAAATATTGTTCGCGATCAGTGAAGTAAAAAAAAAAAAAAGTCTAGCTTTTATTTTTGAGTTATACACAGCGGTTGACATTTGTTTTTCGCACACTTGTATTTCTGAAATTTATTTGTACGAGTATTAACTTTAAGTAAAATATAGACTTGTTTCGAATGTTTTATTTTTATTTTTCGAATGTATTATTTTATCTCTATTTTATACACTAGCTATAAAATAGCTATCATAAAATTATTCTATACAATAAAATAATTTATTCCGAAGCGTTAGTAGGTAATTTACATAATAATTCGGAGATGCTGTTGAAATGTTGTAGTCTACGAAGTTTGTTGTCATAAATTTTTATTTTAAATGAAAACTCATCTCAACAATTGACATCTGCATTTGGAAATTATGACTTGTTTAAGGAAATATAGTAAGAGTTCCATATCTGAAGTGTACATGGCAAGGCGCTAGAAATTAACGACATGGTTTGTTAGAAATTTAAATATTCTTCTTTTTGAAGTTGCTCAAATTATACCAAACAACAGATATCGGCTTAATATCCGACAGATACTGTGAAAAGATTATTGGCATGTGTTTTTATTAGCATCTAGGTTTCTTTTAACGAAATAATATTCTGATAGTTACCTGTAGTTTAATGCACCACTACTTTTCATTTGGTATGTTCTTACTTTAACCGCATTATTCGGAAACTAAATGATGATCATAATTTTCCCTTTCGATTTTCGGACAATAAACTTAGTTAAAGAAATCTGATGTGGACGTCACATGACTTCCTTGTACGTGTATTAAATTATATACATTTGTTGACGCACTTCATTTTAACTTATTTCCTCAAATTATTCTAAATTGATTTGTATTGCTCGATCTCTCAAGACAAGTTGAAAATGACATAAAAAATTGAAAATTTTGAAATTAAATACCCCGGCCAATTTTTGCCGTACATTGTTCAAACTTCTTGTATTTTCATTTTTTTTCCTAAGGCGTATAAAAATTTACCAAATGTAAGTATCAGAACAGGGAGACCGCATTTTAAGCCGTGTAAGGTGGGTAGGTGTATATAAGTATATGTTTAGTTATGCCGATTGCAATAAAGTGTTATGTAGAGAAATTATCTGATAGCGTTATAAAAAAATTAGGTGAATGATTTTATGATTTATGGAAATTTAAATTTTATTTTGATTCTGAATTATTTAATTTAAGGCTTTAATTTTGGGGGGAAAACAGATGCTTCTGGAAATATTATTTAGTTTAAAAGAGTATTATTTATTTTCCTCTATTTGTAAATCTTGTACAAACTTTTATTCATTGTGAAAGAAGCAGGGAAAGGGAGGCAATTTTCGCCAAGTCATGATTTCGCGCGCTTTAGAATGTTCGAGAAAGAATTTTCATTGTTAGTTGACCTTAAGAGAGGAAAGTACGTGACGGAAAGGTCAAAGGTTGCTACTTGTCTTTCAATGTAAGTCATTCAGGTTTTTGGCGATTGAGGGTCCGGTTGTTGGCTAAGTGAAGAAGGGCGCGCATGCGCGATCACCCTTATTTCCGCATTCTGGAGTTGAAAACGAAGATTTTGCCATAATTAAGGGGGCGATAAGTGAAGCCATAGTGGGAGCCCGTTTGGTGAAGGAGACGAAGGAAATTTCGAGTTGGATACACACTTACTTTTGGCTGACTCTCGGACTGACTCGCTGATTTTCGGGCTTGCTGGACAAAATGTAAATTGACTCCGAGAGGTGTTTTCCGGCGGGGAGCGGCAAATATGCTCCCCGGCCGCGTTTGGTTAAGAGGCGAGACACACTTACTACTCTTGACTCGCTTAGGCACTCACTGCTTGGATTCGCTGACTTTCGGGCTTGACGGACTTGTTGACGGAGACTGAGAAAAAACTTGTGGGTGTTGCGAAGGAGAAAGGAAAAGATTTAGTCGGCATCGAGCAGTGCTTCCGGCGGGGAGCGGCAATTATGCTCCCCGGCCGCGGGTTTTCTCAAAAATGCGAAAAAAAAAAACTGTTGAGCGAATAACAAAAAAATTAACAGAGACTTGGGTCTCTATCTGTATCGGCAAAAGTCAGGACGATGTCCTCTGAACTCCGACTTGAAAACAGAAGGAATTATGTCACCTTAGTCAACTGGAAGCCTGCGTTAGCCGTTCTCTAAAATGCCTAGCTTAATTGTCTACGTTTTCCTTGGTGGAGCTGAGAGTCTAGGCAGACAGCCGTGCGGTGTAAGCTGTTTCTCTTGCTTCCAGTGGGAATAATTTTCTTCTATGGAAACCAGTAGCAGGCGTAAGATTTGACGGTATAGCTGATGTAATTTATTGTCGTGCCGATTCGAGTCTCTGTCTTGCGGATTTGCCAAGTGACGTAAGGATAGAGCTAAGATATGAGCTCTCCTCCACTTCAAGATGTCTTAACAAGATAAGTTATATATATTTTTTTGTGTTTGTTCGACCCTCTCGCGGCACGTTTCAATATAAAATTGGTGCCGTGACCTCTGCTTAGTGGGGGATCGGATCGAGAATTGAATTTGGATTTTGAATTTACCTATTTTGTGTAATTTACTTTTTAAGGAAGGAGTTAAATTTTATGTGCTAGGATTAATTAGAGTTTTTGATTTGTGTTTGCTTATTTGTTAATACGAGAGTGATAAAGTTTGAAAATGTGTGTGAATTTCAGGAATTTTGGACTTTAACGTTAGGCAAACAGAATTGAACTTTAAAATTAGGAAAAATATATATTTTTAATGTAGGCAGAATAGGTACTGTACATTTTTACTGTTGAAAATCCTTGAGTGTTTTCTTTTCTGGATGTATATTTTTGATTTTCGACGTACTGATTTATGATACAAGATGGAAAATGAATTATTTCACGATAATCCTATGCTATTTGTGTATCCTTGTATAAAGTTTCGAGTGCTTGTCGGTAAAAACTGGACTCATTTTTTGAGCACTTCTAAGAGAAAGAGATTAAAGACTCTAATTATTTTACTGAATGAGACAAGCCATAGCTATGCGTAGCTAGAAAATTTTTTTGTGTGTGTGTTTTTGCTAATTATTTAACCTAGAATCTT